AAAAATGTAGAGTTAATTTTTTGTGAAATAAAATAAACCCCTGTTTTTCTATTTTGAAATAAAAACATATATGTAGAGGTCGCTCAAAGTACTCAAAGTTTTCCATGTATTTTATATGGGGGATAAACACTTTACGTAGAAATGGTATGGAAATCTTGAAAATCAATATTTTTCGTTCGAAAAACTTTGCTTCTCTTCAGGAGACTGCCAGTAATAATATACAAATGTTTATTTTTAAATTTTTTAATACCAGCGATTTTTTATGAGTCCCCCCATTTAGAGCTCCTGTTAATCGACTAACCGATTAATCGGTTAATCGAATAGAAAAAGTTGTTTAAAAAAATAGTCGAATACCTTTAATCGATTAACCGTTCACTTTCGACTAACCGCTCATAATCGACTAGTTGTTTACATTCGATTACTTTACAGATTCGACTATTCGAATAGTTGTTTGCTTTCAATATTTCATAAGTTTTGCGGTTGATAGGCTTTGAATATTTATAGTACCAAAAATGGTGTGGTACCGCATGAATTATGATGGAGATCAATACGTGACTTATAGCAAAATGTGAAAAATTCAAAGTGCATCCATCCCCATCATAAACTCATGGAAATCAGGCGTTGCAACAAGAGAAATGGGTAACATATTTGTTGCAATTAATCATGCTATTGCACGAGAAATGGTCTCTTGGCGCTCGTTTGAAACAGTTTCGCCATCTTCGTTTTTTCTTCTACGCTTGACATTTTTTTGCCGGGCTTGGTTCGGCACATTCACTATTGGCTACATCTGTGGTCCTGGGGAGGATAAACTATGGAAAATTACCACTTATTAGTTCGTTAACATAAACATACAGTTCCAGGTCCTGCTCCTTGTTCCTTGTTTCTTTTATGAATGTCCTTCAAATGGGTTGCCAAAGACGATGTCGAATTATTATAGGCCATATTTTGTCCCCATATTGTACACTTGACTTCTGTTACACCTTCGGAATTAGAAAAGAAGTTCCACACCCAGCTACGCTTACGTAAACTCATTTTGGATAAAGCAAATTTTTTGTTTTAAAGTGAGAAAAAATTTGTATTTAAACATTTTTCACTATTCGAATAATGACAGTTAATCCATTTCAAGACTAGTCGAAGTTGATGAAACGATCGAATACTTGCTATTCGATTTCCAGTCAAAGCAAAAGTTGCTACTCGAC